GTCGGGCCTAAAAATACTAGTCCTACTTAAGTGCAAACCCCTAGTTCGTTACAAGTTTTATCCTAACACAAATTGTGCACTTCTAACACAATACAAACACCTAAAATGACTAGGGCTACAAGAAGTTAAGTCCTTCTAGGACTCCCCCTCCAACACCTATAAATACATAACCTAGTCTCATTATTCAGGTATGTTTTTTACATAATATTTCGATATACAAATTTTCACATAATTATGTCTCTGACTTAAGCATCGGAGGGACGACGAGGACACACCTCGACGCCTTTGTTTCAGGTATCAGAAGGCATCTTTCGTGCTTGTTCTCAGTCGTCAAGCTCGGGATCAACAGGTACGATTTTTGGCATCATCAATATCGATCTTTGATTGAACAGTATGGTCGACATATTTCAACTCTACTCACGTTCACGTATAGGACATCTACACCCTTGAACAAATCGTTGAAGCATTGACCTTCTTCAGAAGTAGGGGAGGCGCATGCGAGCATTCCACAGTCGAATCAGTCCACTATAGATGTGAACATTGGGTGGGATGAACACAAGAAGCGAGTCACAAGAGTATTGCGGTAATTGAATTTTGAGTGAGAGAACACGAAGCAAGATTACTATGTAAAGAGTGTAAAATTGTATTACCTGTAAATGACACTATCGATAAACTTTTAGTACAAAATGCGAAGTGGTAACGGTTAGATAAAAGACACATGACCTCATCTTAATGACCGACACGTCATCCCCTAGATTTCACTTTTGCGATCCTAGATTTAGTAAGCATTTAATGATTCTGAAAAATGATCATTCTAGAGCTTATTCTAACATCTGAAAGAAGTATACTAACAAGTTGATTAAGAGATACTGCAGAAAGATCACATCAATCAATTATACAAAAGATCTATTGAAAGAGGCAAAACTAAGTAGATGCCTTTGTCAATTAAAGGCTCAACGCTTCAAAAAACTGCTACAAATCATGGCACATTGTCTCGACCATGGAGGTCGGTCTTCACATGGTGCCTCGAATAAGGTGAATGCATCATTTTGGCTTCCTCTATTTGATTGCCTCGATTAGGTCAGGTAAGCTACTAATATGGAGTGAAGGCATGAGGTATCTTGTTTATTTCACCATCACGTGATCGGTGATTGCAACCTTGTATGATGAGGAGTAATGCTGCTTGTATATTCTCAAGCTTCTAGTCTCGTTGTTTCATTTCCTAAGTGTCATGAAATTATGAAAGAGAATAATTTGATTTAGTGATATAGCTTGAAAGAAGAAGAAAATAGCAGTTTATTTTGAAAAGATTAAGGTCATGTTTGAGCCGGATTAAAATTTGATTTTAATCTAAGTCAAAGTCAAACAATCAATATTAGCCACATCTTTTATGGGTCTCACATCTTTTTAACCACACATTTAAAAAATCACAATCCACTAAAAATCTAATTTTAATCCTCACCAAACACCAACTAAAGTCGATTTTGATTAGGTCAAGATCGATCAAGTTAGAGTTTGTTCAACTGGAAAAGAATCAAGTTTTTCACGATGAAGATATTAATGACATTTTAAATCATTAAGTTATTTACACTATATTTTTAACTATGTTATATTATAAAAATGTCTTTTTTTTTATAAAATTCCGTTGACACACTAAAAGTGCAGTCCAAATTAAGTAGTCCAAAGAGTGATGCCTAATTGGGGAGTCCATGATAAATGCCCAAATAAGATTATTGGTGAATGCAGAAGAAGCCCACGAACACAGTAACATCATCATTCAAGCTTGCAAAACGTCCAAAATTTGAGCGAATGGAGTGCCTTACGGTCGTCCAGAGCGATGACCTCGTTCTCGCTCAAAAATTCGAATCGCCCAGAGTCTTAACAAACATGAGATATTATAGTTATCTAGAATAGTAGTTATTGAAGCAGTTATCGAGCAGACTTATCACATTCCACGATTCAAGGAGCCCATTTGAAGGCGGTTGAACGACAGAGTAATGGTAGCAGTTAGAGATGACAGTTCCATGACAAGTTAGCCGTCATGAACAAAGTAGGTAGTTATAAAGCAATCAAGCAGTTTTCAAGCGGTTTGTCACGAAAAAATAATCATGGGAATATAAAAAAGAAGAGAAGACATAAAGAAGGGAACCCGAATCAAACACTCTCAAACAGAGAATATTTAATTTCAATTTTTTAGATTAACTTTAATTATTTCTTTTTCAGTACTCGTGTGCTTGCGCCCCTTAGAGGCATTATGTTGATTTTCAATTGTAACTTTCATTAATAAAGCACCCCTTTTTGGGACTGTTTCAAGAGGTTTGTCCCTTACACAATCGTCTGAATCTTTTTTAATTGTTAGCAACTAACCGCGCGAAACAAATTCATAGTTTTAATTCAAGCCGTATCACAATTTACAATGATTCTATTCACCAATTTCAAAAAATTACGAACCTGCTTTTAAATAATATATTTTTTCAAAATATAAATGTTCATTGGAGCGACTAGCTTGGAATATCGATAGTAATGTCAACTAACTCCATCGAGAAAAATTCAATTACGGCATTTTGAACATTGCCACATTCGACATTAGAGAGTATGTCACATCGATTTAGATGAGACGATGGAAAATAACATTCGAAATAAAATGTGAAAACTTTCCTAGTTCAGTTAAATGAAGTAGTTTTTTGTAGAAACTACAAATGTAAAAACAACCAATTCTACGGGATTAGTCACTCGAAAAGTTCACTGATATCATTTTTGAAATTAAAATTATTTTTGTACACAATCGAAGTATTGATGATTCAAGATTTTATTTAGTTCATTAACTTAGTATACAACCAATTTTGGAGCGTTATACCACATTAATGTATTAAATAACTACATATCATGTGTGTGTCACATAGAGCAACTGCTGCAGTGAACGACTGCAAGTAGCATTACTCGGATCAATTTGCCATTTCGTTCTTAGTCGTACTAAAGATGGGAATAAATGCGTGGGGTGCATATAGGTGGGATAAGGACGTGAGTAATATTATTAGGTGTGAATTAAAATCAAATTTTTAGTAGATTTTGATAAAAGTCGATGAAATGTGTTGTTGAAAAGTCGTGAATCTCGTCGAATATGTTATTAAAATTAATTATTGAATTTGACTTAAATTAATATTTTAATTTTAATTTCCATAAAAATAGGGCTTAAAGTCGAGATCAGCTCAGTCAACCGTCGTGAATCTCGTCGAATATGTTATTAAATTTAATTATTGAATTTGTCTTAAATTAATATTTTAATTTTAATTTCCATAATTATAGGGCTTAATGTCGAGATCAGCTCAGTCAACCGAGTAGAATAAGCCACAAAACAAGGACTTGTTTGTCTGTATTTCCCACCGTCGCTTAAGCATCCTGAACCAGGAACGTCCAAATCTCTATTGCAGTGACGTACAACACCAGATATTTTATGGCCACGCGTTCTTTAGTCATTGGCCACAGTAAATTACTCCGTGCACTTCAATTGCATTTGCAAAATTTTCCATCTTTATCCCACTTCAAACCCTCCACTCTCTCTCTAACCGAACAGATGCTCTGAAAACACCATTCTAATGCCATTAGAAAGAATGAAAAGGGGAAAATCAAAAGCCCATGAAAATAAATTTAGTTAAAGAAAAGAAAGATTGTTTTTTTAATATCGGGTTTGTTGAAGATTCAATTTTTGTTGTATTAATCTCATTTGCATATGCATGCGTGTACATATAGAACAGTTGCTATATTTGTAAGTCTTCTCTCCCTTTTTTTCCCCTTGCTTTCGGTTTTGGCTTTATTTCGCTTCTTTATATTTTCAATACTACGGAGGCTTGAATATCAAGTTGAATTTTCTGACAAGTTTTTGTTCTCTAAGTCTAGTAAAATTTTCGAGGGATTTAAGGCCTTCTTTGAATATTATTGTTTAGTTTGAGATTTGTCTTGAGCGATCAATCTGTGGAAATCGTATTGTTTTATTCTTGTATTCATTTAGGAAAAATAAATAAAGAACAGTTGACAATATTGTGAATGATGTTTTTTTCACATGGGTTTTGAAGTATATGCGGAATTGAAGCTTCTATTCATAACTTGAGGAAGTAGCTCTGGAATTCCTGAGACTGTAATTTGATAGAGGATGGTATTTTTCCATGAAATAACTTGAAATTTGTAGATATGATGAATCTTCTTGGGATAGTTTAATACTTGGGGTGGTGGGGAGGAGGCTGGGATTGCGAAGATGAGTTGCAGTAAAAGCAAAGGCAAAGAGGATGAAAAGTGCGAGAAGCCTGCGAGGAAATCAGTCGAAGGGGTGTTGTCTCAGAATGGATCGATTGTGGCCTCCCCATGTTTGACCATCGATGAAAGCGTGCTTATTGACCCAAAATCCCTATTTATCGGGCTGAAAATTGGAGAGGGAGCTCATGGCAAAGTATATCAAGGAAAGTATGTGTGGTTTATGTTTTATCTCATAATATCAATTAATGTTTCCTGCTGTTGTTGATTTTTGTAGCTAAGTCACTTCAACGAGCTGCGTAAAATGCAAAGCTTACAGTTGACTTTATCATGTCAAAATAAAAATATTGAATTCTGCATTTGAAATGATAATATGTATTTTCTCTTGAAGCTGCGTGTTATTGACTTGTCTTGCGTTTGGATGTTATCAATTATTTGACATCTTTTCCTTATGATTCATCATCTTCGGTAGATGATGACGACTTAAAGTTCTCATATTATAGATTTAGTTTTTATTAAAATTTTCTGTTGGTTCTATTGCTGGACTTAAATTATATATCACTCGTGAATGCAACAAAGAAAAGTTACGGATTTGTTTAGTTCTTACAATGATTTCAAAATGAAAAACTAGCCTCTTCGCATCATATTGCTTAGAGTTTAACTTTTTTTGTGCGGTCTTATTGGACACTTTTAGATATCAATATGTTGGTTCGATCCTTTACAGGTATGGAGATCGAATTGTTGCCATCAAAGTTCTCAACTGTGGCAACACATCAGAAGAAAGAACTATGCTTGAGAGTCGTTTTATTAGGGAAGTGATGATGATGTCCAGAGTAAAGCATGAAAACCTTGTTAAGGTGAGAGAGATGGATACAATTGCAATTTTTTTTTTTTTGTTTAGTGAACCATGCTGCTAAGATTTATTTTGTTGAAGTCAGTATTTGAAATAGGTGCTTAAATTTGTTTGTTTGTTAATTCATGATGTTGTATTAAACTGTGCACAGTTTTGACCGTTTATAATTTCAAGCTGCGTGTCAGTAGCGCGCGCACTGTTAATTACTGACATGAAGCATAATACAATGTTTTCCTTTGCAGTTTATTGGAGCATGTAAAGATCCTTTGATGGTGATTGTTACAGAACTTTTACCGGGAATGTCACTCAGAAAGTATTTATCCAGCATGCGTCCAAAGCAGCTGGACCTGCACGTGGTGTTAAATTTTGCTCTTGACATTGCTCGAGCCATGAACTGTTTACATGAAAATGGGATTATACATAGAGATTTAAAACCTGGTATCTGATGGGGGCACTGAGCTGTATAAGATTTTAGTCGTCTATACTATTGTTATATTGTGTAGTTTGGAACAATTTTATTGTTTCAATGTAGATTCTAATACTCTGTTCACCAGGATTTGATATTACGTTCCTTTTAAGGGTTTGTTTGAAGGTGGTGTTTTTATAACAAGTAGGTGAATAGATATCACATTATGTTTTGATTTTTTCCTTTTATTTCTACTGTCTGGTTTGTTATGTTATCCATCCCCAAATGAAGAAAAAGAGAGGAAAAAAGAGGGAAACAAATATGAGTTTGAATCAATTTAGAAACTTATTTATGCTGTGCTGACTTACATATATCTATTTCTTACTATAGGCAATTGATGTCTGATAAATTGATGTTTACTTTACCAGAGCAGAATGTGTGACAATGCACTCTCATTTACTTTGGAATTTCATTTAGTTCAATGTAAATTTTCATTCTCTTAACTGAGAACATGTATGAAAATTTATGGTGCAGATAATTTGTTGCTCACTGCCAATCACAAGTCTGTGAAGCTTGCAGATTTTGGTCTTGCCAGAGAAGAAACTGTAACTGAGATGATGACTGCAGAAACTGGGACATATCGTTGGATGGCACCAGAGGTCTGTAGTTTCTTATTAGTTTGATATGTCACCCACTATTGCTTTATTTCTCCATAATTTATATTTAACATACCACATCAAATATTCAAGGGATTCCATTACATTTTCCACATTTATATTGTTTTGCTGAATCTTTTCTGGTCTTTTATTAGATGTGCTAGTATGAAACTCAATAAGATTGCATTTAATTGCATTGCATTGTTTCTGATCATTAGGTTTTGAACATTTTGAACTTTTTATCAGCAACATAATTGAACTTTGCAGTTGTATAGTACCGTGACACTTCGTCAAGGGGAGAAGAAGCACTACAATAACAAAGTTGATGTTTACAGTTTTGGTATTGTCCTCTGGGAATTACTGACAAATCGCATGCCATTTGAGGGAATGTCAAATTTGCAGGCTGCTTATGCAGCTGCTTTCAAGGTACATAAACCATATATTATCTATGTATGTATTATGTAAATATTTTTGGAAAAAGAATTACATAAGATATCTGCTTGATTTTGACTATTTTTCGTAGTTTGGATGTCAAGCACAGTATTATGAAACAAAACAAATGGAAAACATGTATCTAGTAGCCACAACGGAAAGAACTAAAGTAGCAGAAACAGAGTAAATTTATCTTCTAGAAATCAGGAATTTGTCTTTCAATGTTCAAAATGCTGGGTGGAGTTGTAATCCCTGTCTCTCTGAATTCTTCCATTCTGTAAATTGTTCATAGGTTATTTCTTGATCATTAAGGCGTCCCGAAGTGTCTGCCATCGGATTTGGACATGCTTATTCGTTACTCTCTCTGTCTCAAGTTGAATGGCTTTCATGATATTTTAAGTACTGCTAAATAGATGGAAACTTACTGCAAAGTCGATTGATCTTTTTCCGATACTACCCCCATGGAAACAATAATCACTAGAATTTCTTTATAGTAATGATGCCCACTTGATGACATTTTTTTGGCAATTGATTTTGTTCATTCAAATGATATTTTTGTACGCATGGGACCATCACCTATATTAAAAATGAGAGCAACTTAGGAAGTTTGTGATACAAGTTTACCAATCTGAGTTCTTTCCTGAAACCCAGAGTTGGACACTGAATTTGAGACCCAAGTATTGATAAGCCCAAATAACTATTCTTTGCTAAATGAATAGCCGTATTCTTATTTATCAATACTCAGCGGTTATTTATAGACTGGCTTTAGACTCGTTTCCGTATGCTGCTAATTCTTGCAAATGCTAAGTTATTTCCAGTTCCCACTGAATCCAGTCAACACTGTTACAATGATGCAGAGTAGTTTCAATAGAAAAGGCATTTATGCCCACCTGTTCTCGAGGCATGTTTGATTCATTTAGATATTATCACTAAGTGCAGTGCAGGAGAATATTTTGTTGAACCATTTAGGAACAAGTATAGATGATTCATGCTAGTTGCATGACCATCTTTAAAAATTTAACATATGAAATTAAGAGGAATTTAGGCTCTCTTAACTTCTTTTCCGGATATAACTCACTTGTTGATTATTTATTCTTAGTGTCAAGATTGTGAACTCTATGAAAAAACTTGATTATTAAGGAAGTTTGATTGATAGCATTTTAAATGTGATACTGTCATAAATTGATTTCTTTATGGTCCTAAGTGACTTGGTTTGATACTGAAGCGAAGACTTTAAGAGAGACTACTTTTGAAAGATTACTTATCTATCATTTGGGCATATTAGAAAAGCATAAGTATCTCTGTCCTGTTTTGGATCGTGTGATGACGAGGCTGGTGCTGGCGATTAAGGTGGAGTTTTCATTAGAAGCTTCCATTTTTTATATCTGATGAAGCCACGAGTTTTGGCATGCTAATGGTCATGAGAGAGGCAGCTTCTTTAATTATTTGTCACTTTTGTGTGTTAACATTAGCATAGGTTTGGCAACCATTAATTTGTACTTTCCTACCAAGAATGAGGTGATTAAAAAGTATAAATTGGAAACCATATCTTATTTCGAGTCTTCACAACTCAATTTTATTATCTTCACCATTGCCATATTTTGTCTATGATTTGTTATTTATGTCATTGTTATGAGGTTAGGTAAAATGTAATTATTATCTTGTACTAAATTTGACTACGTGTGTAAACCTATCACTTGGAAATGCAGCAGGAGCGGCCTAATCTTTCAGAAGACATCCCAACAGATCTAGCAATCATTATACAGTCATGTTGGGTTGAGGATCCTAATATGCGACCCAGCTTCAGTCATATTGTTCGGATGCTCAATGAATACCTCTCCAGACTTCCTCCTCAGTCTCCATCTTTGCCTGAACCTAACTTCTCTGTGGAAGCAATGACAAGCAACGGTGCTATCACTGAGTTTTCTGCTCGAGCAAGAGGGAAATTTGCTTTTCTTCGCCAACTTTTTGCTGCAAAGAAGGCCAGGAACTCATAATAACAGGTAATTTTTGAGAAGATTTTGCCATTGCAGACATGGGAAAGGCCAAAACATGTACATGTAAAGTTCCTTCCCCTTATTCTTGGTAAAAAGGGATGAAAATTACTGAACAGATATAATGTTTAGCTAGGAAACAATAAAAGAATTTAGCAGAAAAAGCAGTTGACCCAGTAGAACCGCGATGTTCTGTATACCTTCTTGTGAGTATATTAGTATATTCTGCTTTGGAAAATTTTCAGAATGCAGCTTAGGATTTTATATCTATGAATATCTGGTGGATTCTGGAACTACCAAATTAGGTCATCCTGTAAGCATCTGCTAATAGCTTTTAAAAATTTTAGTGATCTACATTTTGACGAACAAAATTGCTCGACTGCTAAATCTTGAATGCACGTGTCAAAATTTGAAAGAGTCATTTTAATTTTGATTGTGGAACTCCGGTTCTTTGTACCTAAAACATTGAAGAAAAGACGAGTTTCTTTGTACTTACAATTAGCCTATTAGGAATTCATTTAGAAGACACTGTACAGAGGCAGAAACTGTGTGGAGATTCCAACTTTAGAGGCAAATGTCAGAGCTCGTTGACGGATGAGAGGCTGATTCTCCCGACTGTTGGGGATACACAATGCCATGTTTGGGAAGGTACAATCGACGATGTGAATGAAGAAAAAGAAGCTAAAATCTACCAAATATGCCCTAAACTATTTCATGTCATAGGAGAATTTTTTAGAAGACGTATCTAACACAAGAAACCTGCAGGCTGACAACAATTTCCATGGTATATTGTGCTTATAATCTTCGTGTGGATGCAGTCTTTGAGGTTACGTATTATAGTTGTTGATCTTGTAATGCTGCCTGTTGATTTCCCTACTACTACCGAGTTTTTCTAAATAAAGTCTGCTATTTACCTGCTTCTATTCTGGAACTCTAATTGTGCAACAAGGTCATCACATGATGGTAGAGATGGTCTATATTTACGTCTTTTGGTTAATCATTGTTCATCTGATTCTTTTTATTTAATCCACTTGATCCTAAAGGGCATTTTGGGCTATAGAAGCCATTGGGAAAAGCCATGTTGAAGGTGAAGGAAGTACACTGAAGCTAGACTCAATCTGCAGGATGGAATTGTTTAGCCAATGGAATTGTTTAGCCAAGGGACAGGATTTTCAACTGAGTATTACTTTCTTTGATGATGCAATTCATGCAGAGAGAAAAATGGACACTCAAAAGTTCGATCCAAAGCCAACAACTTCCATTTCATTCTCAACTCTTCAAAAGCTATTCACAGATTCTCAATCGAGCTTAAGTTTCACCCATGTCTTTTCAAATTAAAATCTGAACCCAAAAAGTCATTTTCCTTGAATAGTAAAGAAAATCAATCTTGAGAGACTAAGGGGCCGTTCTCTTTGCCGTTTTCAACCCGTTTCTGTTTTCGATTTTTCAAAACGGTGAAAACTCGTTCTCTTTGTCATTTTCGAAAACGAATTTTTGAAAACGAAAAAAAAAATGTGAAGAAAACGGAAATCGCTCCTAAAAACACCCGACTGAAAACCCTAACTGTCTGTTCTCTTTGCCGTTTTCAAGCCGTTTTTTGTTTTCGATTTTTCAAAACGGTGAAAATGCATTCTCTTACTCATTTTCGAAAACATAAAAAAAAATTGTGAAGAAAATAGAAAACGGCCAAAAAGCCGTTTTGGGCGTTTTCTTCACAAACGAAGCATTAAGTTAGAAAACAAGGGAAACGACCAAAACGGTTCCTCCTCTGGCCAAAACACTTCATCCTTTCTATTGCCAAACCACATGTCACCGCCACTTCCCAAGCCCCTAGCCTCCGGCCAACCTCCTTCAAAATAGTCGGATTAATATACCACTGTAAAGCCCTCAATCCTCTTTTCAATTACTACACAAACAACAATTCAATCATAATGAGAAATATGAAGCCAAACTCACCAAATTTTTCACAGACTGCCTTAATTTCTCTCACAAATTCAGCAACTTCTGGACGAAATTGACCAAGACCCATACCGGGGCTAGGTGCACAAGGTGAAGAGGGACCTAGCCCAGGTGGTCCGCTATCTTGGGTGTCCCTGCCGTCGCCGGAATTTAGTTTCTTCGCTGCCAGTGTCGCCATGTTCGCGACTGACGAATTTTCCAAATTGCAAATGAAGTTTTCCATTGTTGTTTACTGTGAATTGGTGGCATGGTTGTGGTCGTCTGGTGTTGGGGAGTTGTCTGGAGGTGTGTTCCGACCATGGGGGTGGCCGGAATCTTGATTTCCGACAATTTTCAGTTGAGAAGGCAGCGAACTTTGAACACGAATTCCGGCCTCTGTAGTTATTGGAATTGAGTTTAGTTTGATGGCATGTGAAGCTTGAAGTGAGGGCTGTCGACCGGTGGTAATGTCCGGCGGATTTGGTAGCCGAAGCTCACCGGAGTTTGGCTTCATTTTATGGTGGGTGGTGGTCGGTTTGTGAGAATGGAAAATAATGTAACCAACTTTTGGGAAAATGTTTTGAGTGTCAATTTTGAGATTGCTGAAAACGCATTCTTTTTGTCATTTTGAAAAATTGTTTTCAAAAATAAAAAAAAATGAAGTTTTGGTTTGATTTTAACTGAAACATTTAAAACGACATTTTTGGCGTTTTTCGTTTTCTTTGTAAATTTTAAACTCGTTTTTGGAAATTCATTTCTAAAAATAGGTAAATAAACATGTTTTCAGTGTTTTCGAAAAATTGAAAACTGAAAGTAGCTTGAAAACAGCAAAGAGAACAGGTCCTAACTGCCTTCAAATTTTTTGGGATCTTTGCATTGACTTGTAAAAAACAAAGCCATTGTAGCTAGGAGGAGCTCCACACCTAAAATGGTGTGCCAATAAGGTATGGCCGGAAAATTTTCTTCCCTAACAACTCCAGTGTAGGGATGAATACTGCTTATTTATGTTTTAGTCTCCAATTTAATCTTCATTTATCTGTTTATACTTTGCTTTCCTTGATCGCGAGAAAAAAAAAATCGTAATTCTCGGACTATTTCATTAAACCAATTTTTGATCAATTTGGAGAACCTCACAGGTTTTTTTATAGAAAATTACCTTTCTTCAAGTTTTAGGGTCCGTTTGATTCTCATTATCGTAGAATGAGTATGAAAATTATAACGTTATTAGGCACTACACAAAAGATAGAAATTCAAAATTGATGGCTTGATGTGATGGATAATGGTTATATTTTTCATTTTTATGGAAGAAAAATAAGAAACAAACGGAGGCTTAATTTCAAAAATCAGGCACTGATTAATTTTTGTCAAAAATCAGGTGATAATTGCCCATATTTTAAGCTTAACCAAACATGCCTTTAGTCTCACTAATATTCATATTCAAATATGGGACTTCTGCAATCTTCCGTCGTCTTTACTCCTCTCCGACCTTTTTTCCGACGGGGCAAACGAAAAATTCAAAGTTGCTTTGGATACTCTCATCTTGAAGGCTGAACAGTCGTAAACTTTAACTGCATCAACATCAGTGTCATGTCCCCATTCATGCTCTAGACCTCTCAGGTCCCGAATCTCCGCCGGGTACTTTCCCCATGCCTTTAGCTGGACCCCTCTGTAATGCCATTCAGTTTCAATACACAGTCCTTGAAAAAGTCCAGTTTCTTCCGGGTGGGTTTTAACTGGTTCCGTCGAAGGAGGTGTGCAAGTGTTGGAAGCTGAATCTTTGAGCATTCATTGAGGAATTCTCGATTATTTGAGGCTTCATTTTGATTTCGAAGAAAGCAAGCTCGATTGTAAAGCGGGTAAATGTTAAAAAATAATAATAAATTTTCAAAATTAAACCCTCAAGTATCTGCTCAATGTTTTCCAAATCTTTGAATCTGTCCTATCATCATTTTTGGCACTCTTTTTCCCAAGAATTGGTTTCTTTAGTAAATCAGTCCCCCGGCGGCGCCACTGCCGCACTAGCTTCGCCGCCACCACCACCTGCGGCGCCGCTTGCTGCTGTAGAACACTCGGCTCCGACATACTCCGCCCCAGTATGGCCTGGTTCAGTTGCAAGGAGAGCCTCTCATACCGGTCCAATAACGTGCTTTGTTCATCCTCAAACCTTTTTCAGTATTACTACCATATCGTCCATTCTTCCCATTTCTGCAACCAAATTCTTCACCAACAAATGCATCAATGCGTGTTTGTGTGTGTGTCAGAGTGCGCGCCTCAGTCTGTGTGTGTGTGAAATCAGTTGGGGAAAAAAAGGCTCGAGTTTTGAGGTTTCTTTTTGGGAAAAAATCATATTTAAGGTGTTTTCTTTACCTCAATTCAAAAATAAGGTAAATTGTTTAAAAATTCAAAAATCAGGTATTTATTTAATTAATTATAAATATTTATTAAATAAAGATAATAAAGTCACATTTTGTGATTAATGGTCACATATTCATAATTTTAAGTTACAGATNTCGTAATTCTCGGACTATTTCATTAAACCAATTTTTGATCAATTTGGAGAACCTCACAGGTTTTTTTATAGAAAATTACCTTTCTTCAAGTTTTAGGGTCCGTTTGATTCTCATTATCGTAGAATGAGTATGAAAATTATAACGTTATTAGGCCCCACACAATAGATAGAAATTCAAAATTGATGGCGTGATGTGATGGATAATGGTTATATTTTTCATTTTTATCGAAAAAAAATAAGAAACAAACGGAGGCTTAATTTCAAAAATCAGGCACTGATTAATTTTTGTCAAAAATCAGGTGATAATTGCCCATATTTTAAGCTTAACCAAACATGCCTTTAGTCTCACTAATATTCATATTCAAATATGGGACTTCTGCAATCTTCCGTCGTCTTTACTCCTCTCCGACCTTTTTTCCGACGGGGCAAACGAAAAATTCAAAGTTGCTTTGGATACTCTCATCTTGAAGGCTGAACAGTCGTAAACTTTAACTGCATCAACATCAGTGTCATGTCCCCATTCATGCTCTAGACCTCTCAGGTCCCGAATCTCCGCCGGGTACTTTCCCCATGCCTTTAGCTGGACCCCTCTGTAATGCCATTCAGTTTCAATACACAGTCCTTGAAAAAGTCCAGTTTCTTCCGGGTGGGTTTTAACTGGTTCCGTCGAAGGAGGTGTGCAAGTGTTGGAAGCTGAATCTTTGAGCATTCATTGAGGAATTCTCGATTATTTGAGGCTTCATTTTGATTTCGAAGAAAGCAAGCTCGATTGTAAAGCGGGTAAATGTTAAAAAATAATAATAAATTTTCAAAATTAAACCCTCAAGTATCTGCTCAATGTTTTCCAAATCTTTGAATCTGTCCTATCATCATTTTTGGCACTCTTTTTCCCAAGAATTGGTTTCTTTAGTAAATCAGTCCCCCGGCGGCGCCACTGCCGCACTAGCTTCGCCGCCACCACCACCTGCGGCGCCGCTTGCTGCTGTAGAACACTCGGCTCCGACATACTCCGCCCCAGTATGGCCTGGTTCAGTTGCAAGGAGAGCCTCTCATACCGGTCCAATAACGTGCTTTGTTCATCCTCAAACCTTTTTCAGTATTACTACCATATCGTCCATTCTTCCCATTTCTGCAACCAAATTCTTCACCAACAAATGCATCAATGCGTGTTTGTGTGTGTGTCAGAGTGCGCGCCTCAGTCTGTGTGTGTGTGAAATCAGTTGGGGAAAAAAAGGCTCGAGTTTTGAGGTTTCTTTTTGGGAAAAAATCATATTTAAGGTGTTTTCTTTACCTCAATTCAAAAATAAGGTAAATAGTTTAAAAATTCAAAAATCAGGTATTTATTTAATTAATTAAAAATATTTATTAAATAAAGATAAAAAAGTCACATTTTGTGATTAATGGTCACATATTCATAATTTTAAGTTACAGATTTATTTACTGGTCACATATCGTCAAATTTTTTGATCGCAAATTATTTCGAGGTCACATATCAAAAAATTTGTAGGTCACAAATTATTTCGAGGTCACAGATTTTTAAATTAGTTGGTCACA